TGTGCGAATGGAGAGCTCAACAGAAGATGAGACCTCAGGGGTGGCAAAAAGGAACTGAGGTAATCGCTAGGACAGGTGGACCACATGTGTTAATGGGGTGAGTCCTGGCGAATGCATATTTGAGCTCTAGAATATTCCGGAGACCTCTGCGCAGGCACAGATTAAACCCATTAGTGTGCATTCACAGAGATCACGAAGAAGAACCTTATGCTACAGAGAAATAGAAGCTAAAAATGGGCTACTGTAATAGTTCCATCTTTTAAAAAATCTGTACATTTCAAAACATTGAGGTCCTGAGGTTAGTGAAAGCAATGCAAAGCCCTTATTCTGCTGAACAGTCAATACATTGACTGCAGATTTGAAGAATGCAGCCAAATAACAAAGAACATTTTTAAAAAAAGGATTAGTACCAATATTTGCACATCTGTGTAAACTTGTGATGCGTATTTCCTCCCATTCACACATCCACACATTAAACAGTCAAATCTGTTATTATGTCCTTGAGTTAATTCCTGGAAATCTAAGTCACGAATATGCATCAGAACCTTAACTATATTCAGGAGCTGTTTTTCGTAACTGATAAAAAAAAAAGAATTAATCAGAATGAAAATCATTAATCTGGCATTCAATCTTTCACTAGCTTGGTTATGTCTCAGTGTGCCTGAATTATGGCAATGTTATTTAAGTTACTTATGTCGATACCGAGCTGATGTGAGTTCTTCACCACATCTTTGACTCCCGAGACAAGGAAAAAGGAAGCATTTCTTCTGTCCCCTCTTCTGGGTTCAGAATATTTTATGTAACAATAGTGTCCGGATACTGATGAAGGTTGTAGTTTTCAATAAAAATAAGAATTGAAGAGCATGGCTTGATGAATAATAAATGACAGTGAACACTGTGGTGAAAATAAAAGCCATGAAGTCAGTAGCTTTAACCTTAACAAATAAAAGCCTCACTTTCTGATGACATTTCACTCTTAAGAGTATTCACTTCAGGGCATTGCAAATTATTCTGATTTCACACCAATGCAAACTAAATCAAAGCTTGCTTTCACTTCCTGCCCTAAATCAGACAGCTAATTTAGGTGTTCAAGGTTGGATGGAAGTATTTCACACCTATTTAATTTGCAAAAATGCCTTGCAAACATATTGATATATACATGAAAAATAAACAATTAGACTCTGTATTCACTCTTTTCTCATTCCATGACTGTAACCATCTCCCTGTACTCTTGCTTGCAATATCTTCAGAATGTAAAATCTTGAAGATTTGTAACCTGGTATACTTAGACATTTGGGTAAAGTCAGAAATGACAGGCCAAATGTGGGTTTTAAGCCATACTGCTTCAGGTAAAAACTTTTTAAAGGAGTGTTCAGTTAGCATTCTAGTCTAGCACATTATTCCCATAGGGTCCAAGCAGGTGCCTGCAGGAAGCTTACAAGCTGAACATGAGTGCAACAGAACCTCTCTGCTCATGTTCCCATGCACCTGGTATTCAGAGGCATACTGCCATAGAAACTTCAGTTATGACAGAATCTTTATGAATATTAGACATCATAGCCTTGGCCCCATCAATTTGTCTAGTGCTATTTTAAAGCCATGCAGATGAGCTGTCATCATTACATCTTAAAAGGAGCCTTGTGACACATTAAGTTTGCAGTACTGCAGCCCAAATGCTGCTCACAACCTGGGTTCAATCCCAGATAGCCAGCTTGAACTTCACTCAGCCTTTACCACTCAATTTACCAAGGATCTTTCTATCCTTGGTAAATTTAGTATGCAGCTTGCTGGGGACACACACAATGTGTAGCCTATATAACTGAATTGTAAATCAGCCAGAGAGTACTTTAAGCACTATGGGGCAATATATAAGCAGTGTGCTTTGCTTTTTTTGCTCAGCTTTACATCTTGTCACACTGAGTCCCGCTATGTGCTGCACAAAGTACTTCAGTTATGACAGAATCTTTATGAATACTGTATTAGACATCATAGCCTTGGCCCCATCAATTTGTCTAGTGCTATTTTAAAGCCATGCAGATGAGCTGTCATCATTACATCTTAAAAGGAGCCTTGTGACACATTAAGTTTGCAGTACTGCAGCCCAAATGCTGCTCACAACCTGGGTTCAATCCCAGATAGCCAGCTTGAACTTCAATCAGCCTTTACCACTCAATTTACCAAGGATCTTTCTATCCTTGGTAAATTGAGTATGCAGCTTGCTGGGGACACACGCAATGCGTAGCCTATATAACTGAATTGTAAATCGGCCAGAGAGTACTTTAAGCACTATGGGGCAATATATAAGCAGTATGCTTTGCTTTTTTTTGCTTATCTTTATATCTTTTCACACTGAGTCCCGATATGTGCTGGACAAAGTACTTCCATTCATCAGTGCTTAGTCTCCCAGTGCTTAGTCTCATCCATGCCGGAAGCCACAAAATGGCCGCGCGCAGCATTTTCGCGCCCTCGTTAAGCGAGGGGAGGGCACGAAAATGGCTGTCAGCCATTGCAAAACATCACTGAACGGCGAGTAAATCAGCCCAATGGGCTTTTCTGCCCCGTGATGTTTTCAGAGTTTTAGTTTCTGGTATCATAAAACAAGAATGAAGGCTTTCTTTTTCCATTTTGTTCATATTATATTTGGTTTTTTATATATATAAACCACAATCATTTCTCTTTTCATTTGTCTTTTTTCAAATCCAGACTGCTCTAAACCCTTTCAAAAGGTGTGATACTGTCTCCAAACAGGTCTGGTGGGCAGTTGCTCCAGCCCTTTGAACATCTCTAAGTCCCTTGTTTGTACCTTTTTGCAAGTGTGCAATATCCTTTCACTTGAATCCTGTGGGCTGGATTGCTCACAGTATTAAAAACATGGATCTTGCTTTAGATTTGTTTAAAGACAAATCCAGATACAGTCAACCCTCGACTTATAAACTTAATCCATTCCAGAAGGAAGTTTGTAAGTTGAAAAGTTCGTAAGTTGAATCAGCATTTCCCACAGGAATGCATTGAAAGCCAATTAATCCATTCCAGCTGCTTTTGGTTCTTAGGCCGAGGGGTGGTTTGTACTGTAACTCAAACTAATGTAAAGCCGGTTAATCTGGTCCTACAAGTAGGGGCAGAAATTTTTTAAAGCCGGTTAATCTGTTCCTACAACTAGGGGTAGATTTTTTTCCCTTTTAACCTAAGATGACTTAGGTTAAAAAAAAGAAAGGAAGGAAGGAGGGTACAGACACCTTTTCAACAGAACACCTTGAAAAGTACCTTTTCAATCAAGACAAGCCAATACAAGCACCTTTGGGGAGAAAGGGGGGCAGCAAAGGAGGGAGGGAACACACCTAAAAATCCAAAAATAATTTTTTTTTAAAAGCAAAAAAATAAAAATACAGTCCATACAGCACTGTACCAGGCAATACCAGGCAGTCTGAAGACTGTCTCCAAATCCACTCTCAAAATGCTGGGAAGAGCGAGGAAGCAGATAGGTACCCTCTTCACTGGCCAACGGTTAACTGAAAGTTCAAATTTTGTGCTTTTCCCACCTTCCGCATGTTTTTTCGGTTCATAACTTGAATCTGCTCCACCAGAAAGGTTAAAGGGCCATTTCCCTGCCCTAGACGGGGTTACACTCCCTCTAAATGACAGAATCTGCAGCTTTGGGTTGCTCCTTGACCCAGGTCTGACCTTGGAAGCCCAGGTGGACTCGGTGTCCAGGGCTGCCTCTCTCCTTGACCCAGGTCTGACCTTGGAAGCCAGGTGGACTCTGTGTCCAGGGCTGCCTCCTACAGCTGCAGAGAACATATCAACTTCACCCTTACCTGGATGAGCGGAGCCTGGCAACAGTCGCACATGCACTGGTAACTACCAGACTAGACTACCACATGCACTGGTAACAACCAGACTAGACTACCACAATGCGTGATACATGAGGCAGCCTTTGAAGATGGTCCGGAGACTGCAACTGGCACAGAACTGGGCTGCACGGTTGGTAGGTGGTGCCACCATGCAACAGAACTGGGCTGTACAGCTGGTAAGTGGCGCCACCACACGGACTCATATCACACCGGTTCTGAAAAATTTACACTGGCTGCCCATTGCTGCTCGGGCCCAATTCAAAGCGCTTACTTTGACATATAAAGCCCTAAATGGCTTAGGACCTGGTTACCTAAAGGACCGCCTTCTTCCATATGTGCCTGCCCATCCTCTAAGATCAGGCCAGGAGGCCCTTCTGAAGGTGCCATCCCTGAAAGAGGTAAGGGGGATGGCATGTCGAAATAGGGCCTTCTCGGATGCTGCCCCCCAACTTTAGAAGTAAGGATCCTTGGGATTAGCAATAATAGCATTCAGATAAATGTATGGGAAGGCAAAAGGTTCCCCTGCCATAATATTCATTCTCAGTCCAGGCATGGCTCAGCCTACCCCATTCTTCAATGTCCCTAACTATCTATATAATATTTTAAGGGGGCTAGAAGGGAAATTGTGAGGTAGACACAAAGCCCATTACATATATAAGTCTGGATCCACAGTAAGGATTATAAAAGCAGGGATAATTGGCATTCACAATTTATTTTGAACCTTTTAAAAAAAGGTAACTGTGTGATCTATGGATGTAAACAAAATTGAGGAATGAGAAATATTTTATTAAATTATTGAATCACAATATTATATTCTGAATGTAGTTAAATAACTTTAACTATAATCCATTACGGAACCTGTATTTAAGCTCTGTTTCTTCTTTATGAAGTCATGCTGTGCACTTAGGCCCTGTGACTATGCAGTGTGCAGGGACTTTCCAACCCACTGGGCAGTAACACTTTTGTAAAAACAGAATCTTTTTGAAAGCAACACAACTATAGCCTGCCCTCCCTCATAAATCTCCTATAGGGCTGTGGATATCAGTTGCATTTGCCTGACCAGAATGAATAGAATTATTTGAAAAGGAGTGAAAAAAATAAAATATTTCTCCTTTGCTGAAGATTTGAGAAGTAGTTTTAAAGTCTCACCTATGTTGCTCCTGGAAAGCGTTGTTTAGCCTCTAATGGTTTATATGTCCCATGTATCTTTTATTGGCCAAGCTTGTCCTATAAGAAAAGGATATTCAATTAATGCAGAAGTCAATAAAACACAATCACATTAGATAAACCATTTATTAAAACACACCATCCTGATGAATACATTTACTCTAATTGCATGCTTAATTTGATGTACATTAGTACTAATGAAAAGCTTTTAGTGTCTACTGAAGCAGTCGCTTCCTCATAACCTGCTTCATCAACCTTTGTGTTGGCTCACATATCTTTAGACTATATATCCAAAACCACATTTTGATATCTGGCTAGAACCCTTGCAATCTGTACCATCAAATAACATGAAAAACAAAATGGGAAAATATAGATTTACAGATGAAATCATTCACACACATACACTTTTCACTGAACAAAGTGTTGACTTCTGACATGGGGTTTAATCAACTTTACAGCTCTTAGTAGCCACAGACAGGAGAATATTTTTCAAACTCCATTTCTTCTCTATAAATTGTGACTAAAACAAGTAACATGTCTCACAATGGAATTCTGAGAACAAATAATATAATGGGAAAATTCTATCAGAAATTTCAGTTATGTACATTTTACTGAAGTGCTTAGTTTATTTGAACAGTTCTTGTAAATAGACTGGAACATGATAAATATTAAGTATTCTACCCATGTTGCAAATAATGTTACAACATTAAAAATATTAAAATTGTCACAATCCATCAGAAAGCAATGGGATAATAACCTGCCATATATATGAGAACAATCACACATAACCATGAATATTTCATTACATTTTCACCTTGTTTTATCTAACTCACTATATTAACTGTAAATTTCAACTAAATTTACAAGAAAGATAAACATTACCTGAGCATTGTTTCTATAGGCTCCAGTAATTATATTACTGAATATACCCAGATTATTCACAGATTTATTAGATCATTTTCCTTTTTATGATTGCTCTCAGTTAACTCAGTTTACTGCTTGGCTATAAATGACAGCTTAAACATCAAAATATTTATTTGCAAATATCTCCTCGCAAAATTTGAACGAAGCAGGAAAAAAGGAAGACTAAGTATGAGATGGATTGACTCAGTAAAGAGAGTCATGAACTTGATTTTGCAAGACTTGAGCAGAGCGGTTAATGACATATGTTTTTGGATATCATCCATTCAAAGAGTTGGCATAACTCAGAGGTGACTTAATGGCATAAAACAACAATATTTGAATGTACCTTCAAATTGTGTTTTCCTTAAATAACAGGAAACATTACTATGGCTATAAACTGAATTGCAGTCCCTTGAAGTCTGCCTCACTAAATTTGGTGACCAAAATTCTATATTCTATTCACTTTTTACCCCACGTAAATCGTATGCACTGTTCTTTTGCTTCTGGCATTTCTGCATCCCCTTGCAAATGTGGAAGTTCCATTGACTCTAACAGCCTACTCTAGTGTGACTCAAACACACACACACACACACACACACAGAGAGAGAGAGAGAGAGAGAGAGAGAGAGAGAGAGATTTTATTTCCATTTTTAATATAAAAGCTTGCCTCCTACAACACCACAACTCTCTGCCCCCCCCATGACTTCATTGACCATAGGTTTTGGTTCCAATAAAAAGCTGCTGTCATGGCAACCACGGCTGCAAAGAAACACTCTAGCATCTCAGAAGGCTAACTAGGATGGTTAGCCTGTGCAGTCAATTTAAAAACAACCAGCTACCCTGCCATGTTCAGAGACTAAAAATTCTTCCTGCCTAGAAAATATGGCAATGCAAGTTCAAAAATGACACATAATCTAAAATATTTCTTCAAATAAACATGAGATAATACAAAGATTACCACTTCCTCAGTTTTATAAGTGAATGCAAATCGATTCTGACAGCATGGTCCTCCCAGGGGTTTCTAGGCATAAAGCACTCAGAAGTGGTTACCAGTCCCTCCTTCCAGTGATGCTGTGGGATGATGCAGCATGCCAAGGCTGCATAAGCAGCATCAGCCACAAATGCTACAAGTGACCTGTGCTGGTCCCTCTCTTGGAAGGCGCAATGGGGATTTGAATTGCTAGCTCTAAATCCACAGCCAGGTGCTCCAACATTCATACTCATAAAAACACGAGAATCAGTGTTGATCAAGTAGGGAGAGGGGAAGTAAATTTTATACTAGACCAAAACCTAGGACTAATTCAAATATCAATAACAGTTTAACTGGTTCTTATTATGGCATTTACCTATTATGGATGTTGATTAGAGATGGGCAAGAATTGCTTTGTGTTGGGTCATCATGAGTCCCCACCCTATAGCTGGCTCCCCCCACTTACCAGCTGGTGTGTGCTGTTCATCTCCCTCCTCTTCATCCGACTGTCCAGGACGAGCGTGTGCTTCCCTCCTCCACCTTCGCTGGCAGCCACCCACTCAACAGCAGCACTGCAGGAATCTCTGCCACACCTTCTAGTTTGAGCGGACAGCTACCAGAGGAGGCAGAGGAGGGTATCACACACTCCTCCTGTGACTGGATGGTTGTGTGAAGAGGAGGAGATGAGCAGTGCAAGCTGGCTAATGAATGGAGGAGCTGGCCAGGGAGTGGGGGGAGGGAACACGAGGAACCTGTGGTGCTCCACCAATGACTCGCAATGACCTAGCATGAAACAATTCATGGCCATCTCTAATATTGTTGTTATTTCTTTAATGAAACATAAACTTTATAGTGTGGGGAGAGAAAGAATGAGAGAACGTGAAAGAGAAACATGGTATGCTTAATTATTCAGTACATGGTGTAGTGTAGGAAGAAAGTATATTGCCCAAGTTAATTCTGGCGCTGAAGTAGATGGTGTAAAGAAAACAGAGAGGTAGACAGTTCAAGCATGCCTGGGCTCTCATCTTCTGCACCTTCCACTGATTGCAATGGGGCTTGCCAAGGATATGTGTGTGTGCTTCCTTTCCTCCCATGTGTTCATCCATTGTATATGTTCTGACCTGCTTCCCTCATCCCCTCTTGTTTGCACAACTCCAGTATTTTTGTGACAATGCTCAAGTGGCTTGATCTGCTTTATTCTGCCAGAATGTGCACAGCTGCAAGTACAGGAGCAGTTCCTGCTTAAAAGCAAGTTGACATTTTTCTTCAGACATATAACTACTCCATACATGGAAGTCAAGACACTGATAGCATTCCTGCTGTGTGAGAGAGTGAATACAATTATGCTGCTACTAGTCCTCAGAGGGTTGCGTGAGATGGGGGAAATGTTGTGTGAACTCACAACATTTTGAAAGGTTTTCTACACTTCTGAGACAGAAGGAATTTCACTGTGTCACCAGGCAGACTCAAGAGCTGCAATGACCAAGATTGTCTGATGATGCTGGGCATGATAAAGGCATTGCGTCCCTCAAAGTCTCAGGCTGAGCAGAAGTTTTTGTCAAATGGCCTTCTTAAAAATTAAGAACTATGAGATAGTCATTAGGGGGAACTGTGAGAGCTACTGTGCCCGATTGCAACACAGTCAGATGGCTTTTCTCAGTTACTGGCTTGAATGGAATCATATAATGTGTGTGGCAGGTCTTCCCAATAAGAAGCTATAAAAACTCAAATATTTCTTCATATTAAAGATATGAAGAATTCAACCATTGATTGATTGATTGATTGACTGATTAATTGATTGATTTGATTTGATTTGATTTGATTTGTACCCCACCCATCTGGTCTATAAGACCACTCTAGGCGGCTACATAATGTTAGTGCTACATTAAAACTGCCACCTTTTTTTGCGATGTTCCTCATTTTTAATATTTGTAGGCAAACAAAACATGGGTTCTCTGTGTGAGTACCTGTGGCAGACATGTGAGAACAGTTCACTTCATTTTCAATAATATACCCAAGCCACAAATTGCTTCATGCCCTAGAGGGATTCTGAAAAAGGGAAAGAGGTAATCCGATATATTTTCCCCTCCCTAATAAAAGGCTACATCAATTCGTTTTTTGTTCCTGAGTTACATACCCTTTGGCTGCAAGGATCTACCTCAGCTTTGAAAGTATGACTTGGGAGAATACAGACATTAATACAAATTAAGCCAAAATCAGAAACATTACATAGAGAGTCTACCTGGATTTTACTTTGTCCATCTCTGTACCACAGAGTTAGTCTTAAAAACCAGAAGAACATATAATACACGTCCTGTTTAAAAATCCATGTTTAGACCTTAGAATTGGAACAGTTTTATTCCAACAATTTCCCATCTTTGAACAAGACAACAGAGCTTGTGAAGGTCTCTTGGGATCTTTATTTCTTTTTTCATTTATTTAATTATTATATTTGCGATAAAATTGAAAGTTTACAAACTAGTCAGAGCCTTTGGCTAATTCACCTCAGAAATCAACTGTATTTTAAATACTGTACCTGGAAGAAATCTTTTAAAGATCACCTTCTCTGTTATCTATCTATCTATCTATCTATCTATCTATCTATCTATCTATCTATCTATCTATCTATCTATCTATCTATCTATCTATCTATCTATCTATCTATCTATCTATCTATCTATCTATCTA